TTTATTGGCTGATTAATACCTCTATGAAAGGTTGTCACTCCATCTTCCATGGTTGGTTATTTGCTGACTACTATTGTTTTAGGTTTCTGAGATGAGATTGTCATATTAAATTCTTTTTTAAACTTTTTTTATTAGACTTTGATGCCAGCTATTAGAGGATTGTGATCTGAATCAATATATTCACTAGGATATGTCGTTATTCTATTTTTAACACTATTTTTAAATCTCTTATTTACTAGAATACAATCTATTAGATTTTTGATTATACCATGTAGATTATCTCCTGGTTGCTTATATATATAAAATATTCTCTTTTGTAATTTAAACTAAATATCTGTACATGCCGTGTTCTTGACAGTTTATGGCTATATCATTCTGTTTAATTTTCGTATATTTTTTCACTAATTTTATTGATAAAAATATTGTTGTATTTTCAGGACTAGCCAAAGATTCCGCTTTCTTGGATTTAATTCACAACAAGACTGGTGGAAAAGGTCTAGATTTAATTGTTAACACCGTTGACGACGTTTTCTTGGAAAAATCAATTACTTTCTTATCAAATTGCGGAAGAGTAGTGACTCTAATTAGGGGATCATTCCAAAATGCAAAAATTAACACAGATACTTTACATCACACTAACTTCGGTGTATCTCTAGATATTCTTCTTAATCAAAATGTAGCAACTAAAGAAACCGTAAGGACACTAGTAAAAGAAGGTACGTACTTTAGCTATAAGAATAAATGTTAGAATAATTTATTATACTTTATTTTTTTAACCAATAGGCATTGCTTCTGGTCATGTGCAACCTTTACCGTCAGCTGTATACAAACCGACAGAGCTATCTTCAGCAGTTAAGCAGCTACGAGACTCAAATAACAAAGAAAAAATCCTTGTTAATCTAGCACCTACTTCTGATCCTTTACTATTAGCTTTGCCTAAAGTGTACTTCGATCCTAGCAAGAGCTTTATCATCAACGGTGGCTTAGGAGGAATGGGTCTTGAATTAACAGATTGGTTGTTGTCAAAGGGCGCTAGAAATATTGTTCTTAATGGCAGGAGGAATCTTACGAACGGGTATCAAGCAATGTGTATGAGAAGATGGGCACAGTACGATAAAGTTGTTATTAAAGTGAGTACAACTGATGCCAGTACATTAGAAGGAGCTGAAACATTAATAAAAGAAGCCCAAGAACTTGGACCTGTTAGTGGTAAGTACATATGTCTTGTAAATATAAAAATTTGACACTTATGGCTCCTTCATGAATTTATTTCATGTTTTAGGTATATTTAACAGCGCCATGGTACTTCAAGACGCTAACCTTGCTGACCAAACAGTAGAAATGTTCAAAACGTCTTTGAAACCTAAAACATTTGTAAGCGAAAATATGGACAAAGTAAGCAGAAAGCTTTGCCCAACTTTAGACTTCTTTGTACTGTTCTCTTCAATGACTTCTGGAAGGGGAAATCTGGGACAAACTAACTACGGAATGGCCAATTCGTCTATGGAAATGCTTTGTGAGAAGAGGAAAAGAGCAAATCTTCCTGCATTGGCAGTACAATGGGGGCCTATTGGAGAAGTTGGGGCTCTTTCATCTTTGTCTGATGATCAGGTAACAATTATTTTTGTAGATGTATTATTTTAATATTTTATACTTTTTCAATTGGTTTATTCTACATGCTTCATATATTTAATATATCTTTCCCAGAATCCTAGAATCCTGTACCAGCTTATACTGGTCTAGTAGATGATAACATATGCCTGTGTGGTCTCCAAAAAATATTTCCGCTTACAATTCAGTTATTAACAGTTACCAAAAATGGTTGAATTTTATGGGTTTGTTGCCATAGAATCTTCAGCAAACAATCTTATTGTGTGCAGGATCTCTTGACTCACACATATTAAACAAATAAGTCTGTTATTATCTGAGCTGACTCCTTTTTATTTACCGCAATAGTTCATCCTAATTAGTACATGCCCATCTAATCCTGTATCTTAAGTAAAAATTTGAAGTGGACTAACTACATTCGTTTTATTCTATGATCTTTTTGTAAATTGTTTTTCTATTTTAGGAATTCCTGTACAATATACCACAAAGAGTTCAATCCTGTTTTGATGCTTTAGAGAAGTTAATACTCCAAGGCGTAGCTATAGGTGCTAGTACCGTAGTCTCTGATAGAAAGAAACTTGGAGAATCAACAGCTTCAAAGACACCTGTCAATATGGTAGCTCACATAATGGGAATTTCTGATATTGGTAAGGAAGATAATTTCATTTAACACATGATAGATGCCTGAGTAATTCTTATTCGTAGGGCTCTTACCTTTTTCTAGGATCTTCTTCTTCATATAAGCCATACTAAGTAGTTTGTTTTTTTTTTAGATGTTATCGATAAAAACACAAAATTGGTACAATTAGGTCTGGATTCACTGATGATAACAGAAATCAAACAAGTGCTGTTCAGAAACTTCCAGTTAACCGTAGGATTGGAAGAAATTAGAGCATACACTTTTGACGCGCTCTCCAAAATTGAAGTCAAAGAGACGCCCAAGACCATCCAGACAGAGTTGAAGAAGGGTGAATGGGTAAAAATTATGTAAATACCTTTATATAAAAACTTTGCCTTACTTTTGGTTATGACAAAATTATATTGTATGGTCTTCATTGTAAAGATTAACTATTAAGCATGGATGGGTTTACAGTTTAGGGAATATTAAAACTTTCTGTTTTCAAACTGTCAAATTTTATGTTTTGTTAAAGTTTTTATAGAAATAAATATATTTTTATTATCGAAACTTTATTTTTCTTTATATCGCCAACTATACCTTTAGTAGAGGATTTATGAAAATATTCAAACACAACCTTCTCACTAATTAACTTGTTGTTCTAACAACCTATATATAAAATATAAAAATATAGCCTAAAAACATTTTAATCTAATTGAATGTTATTTTGTCCACTAATAAAAATTCCAGCATATAAATTATAGTTAATTAGATTGCCTAGATAAAATAATAAAAAGACTTTTGTGGTACATGACTCAAAAAGGTTGACAATCATTGCTCTAAAACTAAGGACGATAGGAGTACTACGAATGCCTTCGGGACTCAGGCTAGGTCATAGATGTGACAATGGTGTTTGGCAATGAGAAGGTGAAATTATTGTGAAAAATAATAGTTTTATGTATAGGATCAGTATTATTGAGTAGTGGGGAATATATATTGAGTTACAACGGGATAAATGATATACATAAGACTTATAAAACATGCAGAAAATAGAGGAATCATTTGGGAGGACCAGTTTGGGTTTACAAAAAAAAACTGCAAACTCCAACGAGCAAAACTTATTAGCGATACAAAAATCAGATTTTCAGAAACAAGATGACAAACAATACAGAAATGGCCATCCTAGACATCGAGAAGCCATATGACACGGTCTGGACAAAAGCCCTAATCTACCAGATGGGCAAAGCTAGATTACCTCATTACTTAGTTAACACTTGTGACACTTATCTAACTAATAGAACTTTTTGAGTTTCAGCAGACCAAAGGATGTCCAGAATTAAAGAAATCCAAGAAAAGACATCTTTGGTCAGTATACTTTAGCCCATTTTATACAACATTTTTGTTTCAGTCTTACCAATAAGTCCAAGAACAAGTACAGCCATCTACGCAGATGGCACGACAAACTATGCAAGAAGGAAAAATGACAGAAGGATATTCCAAAACATAGAAAATCACTATGGAATAATTACATAATTCACGAAAAAATGGAAAATTAAGATCAACACCAAAAAGACTGAATTCATCATGTTTACATAGGAGAAAAATCTATCAGTAGTAGAAATCCCAATGGGAGGAAACAGTATCCAATCAGAAGATTCAGTGAGCTACCTATGAGTACATCTCGACAAGAAAACTCAACTTCACGGAGAACACGCAACAAATCAAGGTAAAAGCAAATAGTTGCAAAGAAACTAATACTTATATTTTTAGGCCCAGTCCACGAACGAAGACTAGGAAGATCCAGTTATACCTGATCTACGTTATGTAATGCAACCGTCAGAGAAAGGCTCCAGTATACACTACTGAGAGAGGTAGCTGAGAATAGGATAAGATACTTAGACACATAGACGGCTGATCGACCATATGGTCACGGTTAGCCGGGTGGTTGCCAAAGACAGCCAATCAGGAAAGTAGGTACGATGCCCAAAACAAGAACCTACAGAAAAAGAATGGAGTCCATGACAGAAAATCCATCGTCAGAAAGGAAGCACTAATATAGAAGGCTAATATATCTTAGGTTTGAAATATCTTAACAGTGAAATGTAAATTATATTAAGGCAATAAACTTTTTTATTTTTATTTTTCTCTTTATTATCCTTCTCATAAGCAAGGATTTGTCTCTTCCCCTAAAACTACGTCTAGTTAAATGGTACATTTTTCCAATCTTCCTATATGGTGTGGAGGCCTAGACGCTAACAGAGAAGCTCACGAGAAAACTAGAAGCATTCGAAATGTGGGTGTGCTGACCCATTCTTCGTATATCCTGGACCGAAAACATCACCAACAGAGGTAATCCAAAGAATCGGAAAGAAAAAAAGAAATCGTAAACATAATTAAACAAAGAAAGCTTGAATATCTAAAAAAAGCCACAATGAAAGGTTAAAGTACGTTTATTGACGTTTCAATTTCCACTTCGGAAATCGTTCTCAAAATACAAATGTTTGCAAATTATTAAAATATCTTGAAAATATTCCCTACTAAAAAATAATGCACAAATCTACCCCACCTTCCCCTACTCTTGATTGTTAATGATATAAGATTTAATATCAGTTATGAGAATTATATAATCCAATTTTAAATTACCCCATTGAAAATTCTTATACTACGACTCTGTTTTTGACTAACAAGACACATAACTAATAAACTAATTAATTCAGAGGTTATCTTTAAACAATAAATAAAGTAAATCAGAGCTTGGAAATTCTGATCATAAAATAGTTCTGGACTATCCATTCAACACGATGCTTGTCCGATCGGTACTAGTACTTGTCGTAATTGTTGCGTCCAACTGTGATAATGTTAATAACAAAGTGGAAGACGAGTGTCACTTATCGCAGAAACTGATCAAAGAAATTCAATCTTATAAACCTACGGTGAACAGGATAATAGATGCCGTAACGAAAGGAAAGCACAAGGGAAAGGTATATAACCATCTATCGGATTTTATCGACACTTTTGGCGCTAGGGTATCAGGCACCAAGAATTTAGAAAATTCTATTGATTATGTTCAGAATTTGCTGGTGCAAGCTGGTTTAGAGAATATACACGGCGAAAATGTTTCAGTTCCACATTGGGTTAGGTAAGATTGATTCTTTACATTATTTCTGTTAGGTTAGGTAAGTTATTTTGTTTTAAATATGATGACGCAACTTAGTTTTTGTATTTGCAAACTAAATTATATTTAATTTTATTTTATAACTTATAAACACGTGCTTTCCATACTTTTGTTACATATAAATAGCTGACACAGGACTTTTAGATGAGTTAACTAAGGTTTTCTCTTTTTTTTTTCTATGATTCTTCAGTTTTTCTGTCCCATCTTTTTTTGCTTCTTTGGTCTTTCTTTTTATATTTTTATTGACATTTCTATCTACAATATTCTTTGTCTACTCATATTTTCTAGATGATCTGGCTTTCTTCTACTCTCAACTTTATATAATTCTTCTTTTCCAACTTCTTCTTCAGATTTTCCATTTTTAGAGATCGCTGTTTCTTTCACTTATTTCTATCTATCTGGTCTTCTTCACCTAAGCCTTTCTCCTTCACGTATTCTGTCACACAGTCCTTTCATCTTCTCCTCTGTTTTTCTCTATACCAAGATAAAACAAGTAGGGACTTAGTGAAGAGCTTTATACAAACCAACACTGAAAAACTGTCGGTGAATCTGACACAAGTACTCACTTGGGTGTAGGCTTCTTCAATCTTCACGAGTCTAACGTACTTCTCTGGAACCCATTTTCCTCACACATGTCCATAGCTCTTGTCTAAGGACTGTGTCGTCCGTTTTTCCAAGATCTATACATACTAAATGTAGCTCTGCTTCTTGCCATTTCTCTACCAAATCTCTCAAAGTAAAAAAGGCATCTATTGTCCTCTTCTTTGGCATAAACCTAAACTGTTCTTTTTTATCGATGTCTCTCTCCCCAACATTCCACTTCTTCTTTTCCTTAACTGAATCTAAATCCTTAACTAAATAAAAAGGAGAAAAGATGAAGATGGATTACATTATTTTTTTGATTTTTTCACAATTCTCTCTTGAACCTCTACATATAAAGTATAAAAAAATAGCATCAAATAAGAATTTAAAAGATGGTTGAGGATATATAAAGAGGGATAATATATATTATAGATAAGAATAGATCCATAAAGTGGTAACGAAGTAGAACAATGAAGAATATAGAAAGTTAAAATGATATAATGGAGCCACTGCAAAGATAAAAAAAAGAAAGATGAAAAGATTAGGTGCCCAGGAACAGATAGAAAAGATATATAAAAAACGAAATCAGAGAAGTTGGATGGACATTTGTTAAAAAGAATCTTAACAACTCATACAGACTAGTTATATAAAACAACCTGAGTTTATCGGAACATGCAGAAAATCATCATCATCATACAGCCCCATTTTCACATCCATTGTTGGATATAGGCCTCCTTCAAACATCTCCGGTTCTCTCTACCTCTAGCTGCTGCAATCTGGTTTGTTTCTATTCTCCTTAGGTCGTCGGTCCATCGGGTGGGTGGTCTGCCTCGACTCTTGGTCTCCACTCCAATAATCTCTTCGTCGATCTTCCGTCTTCCATTCTAGCAACATGTCCAGCCCACCTCCACTTTTGTTTATTGATTCGCAGTATAATACCGACTACGTCAGTTCGTCGGCGTATCTCCTCCACGCGATCTTTCAAGGTCAGGCCCAGCATTGATCTCCATTCGCCTTTGTGTTACCCTCAGAAAGTTAGGGTTAAGCTCCGTAGGTCAAGACTGGTAAGATGCATTGGTTAAATGCCTTCCTTTTTAGGTGAATTGGGATATTTGTTTTAAAAATATCTTTAATCCATATGCCGCCCATCCCAACGTGATTCGTCGATTTAGCTCGCAGGTTTGGTTGTCTCTGGTTATTCTAATTTCATGACCCAAGTATGTGTATTTATCGATTAATTAGACCTTGTTGTTATTGATCTGTATATCTTCGCTGGGAACCATATTGGTCATCATTTTGGTTTTCTCGAAATTTATCTCCAGCCCAGTTTCTTGTAGTATGTCATTCAGTTCTTGGACCATGTCTTTGATCTCTCCCAGATTATCTGACAGAAGCACGATATCGTCCGCAAAACGTAGATGGTTTAATCTTTCTCCATCGATGGATATTTCTTTCTGTTGCCATATTAGTCTTTTAAACGCATACTCAAGAACGGTAATGAACAGCTTTGGTGACATGGTATCACCTTGCCTGACTCCCCTTTTTATCTTTATTTTATTAGTTGCAGAATGTAGACTTATGGTTGTTATGGCATTTTCATATATATTTTTAACTATATTACAATATCTGTGGTCGACCCTGCAATCTTGTAGTGCTCTTAAGATGGACGGTAGTTCCACTGTATCAAACACCTTTTTAAAGTCTACAAATATCAATGCCAAGGGACGGTTATAATCGTTAGTTTTTTCTATCAGTGTTTTTAGGCACTGCAGGTGATCGTTTGTGACGTAATTAGGGCGGAAACCGGCTTGTTCCCGAGGTTGGTAAAAATCCAACTTTTTTTTACCATGTTTTTTACCATGCAGAAAATATTATAGACCAATTCCAAATTTTTGTTTCGGTAAGGCAGATCTATAGGAACAATTTTTTACATAATGTACATAGGATATTAAGTAATTAAGTAAGTATAGAAATAATATTACACCTATTACTTTAACATGGTTTCACAAGCGTATAATGATATTAGAATAAGACAATTATCTATTAGTGCTACATTTTAATCATATTTTAAGTATTTTCTAATATTTCATCCACGTGGGCAATTGTAGAATTTTCAAGAAATCGATAACCTCGTCTTGACATTTCCATACCGATAAAAGTATTATAGATAAATATGGAAGTGATACTGTAATTGTACATAATATATAATATTAATATCGGAAATTCTTTGAAATTTAACGACAGGAAGAAAAACAAATAGACCATGGTTACTTTACACTGCTCAACACCTCTTCTTATTACACTTAGTTATATAATTCTTTAATTGAGTTGTTGCACACCATCATATTTGTTATTTAACTTTTCATGTAATCTTCATCGTACTTGCTATAATTTTGCCTTCATTATTAATAAATATTTCCAGGGGCACAGAAATTGCCGAAGTGCTCGAGCCTCGAAGATCAAAAATTGGCGTGCTTGGCTTGGGACAAACAGCTAATACTCCTCCCGAAGGAATTACAGCAGAAGTTCTAGTCGTTCGTTCATTTGAGGAGTTAAACAAACCAGAAGTTTCAGCAGCAGCTAAAGGTAAGAGCTTTAAGTAAGTTTTCTGTTATTTGTTGTTAAAAACCAAAGATAAATCATTTAGACGAACTTTTATTTGCCTTTTTAGGTAAAATAGTTGTCATCAACTTCAACTTTGAACGTTACGGAAGATCTGTCAAATACAGGAGCCAAGGACCTGTAGAAGCTGCCAAACATGGAGCTTTAGCGGTACTTATAAAATCCGTAACACCTTTTTCCATGTATACTCTTCATACAGGATATCTCAAGTACAGAAAGGATGTCAAAAAAATTCCGGCTCTTTCGATAACAGTTGAGGATGCAAACATGCTACAAAGATATCAGGTATTAACAGTATTTAATAGTCAGTTATTAAAGAGTATTTGAATTCTTCATTCTTAGTGATGCATTTAAAGAAGCTTTCCTGGAAGCCAGGTCAAGATTCTAATCTTACTCAATCCTATAGATCGTATTTTTACTAAAAACCTAGATTGTTTATCAAATGCAGACTATAATGGTAGATGCCTAATCAAAATTTTATTATATATAACCAGTTTGACATAAAAGATAATTTAAAACCTACATACAAATAATTACTCCAACAACAATGACTTAAACACATTAAAAGTGCTTATGGTCAGATATCTTCTTCTTCTTTGGGTGCCGTCTTCTTAGCGAAGGTTTGTGATAACTTCTGCAATGTCTTCCCTATATTGGGCTTTCTTTATTATAAACTTTGAAAGTCTTATCCCGTCCAATCTTTGATGTTGCGCAGCCAGGTCATTTGTCGTTTACCCGGGACGCGTCTGCCATCTATTTTCCCTTCTATAATAAGCTGAAGGAAGTTATACCTGTCGTGTCTAAATGTGTGTCCAAGATAAGACTTTTACGCTTCTTGACAATTTCTGTGAATTCACGTTCTCTATTCATACGCCTTAAAACTTCTTCGGTCCATGTAATTTTCAGCATACAACGAAATACCCACATCTCAAAGCTATCTAAACGTCGTAACGAGTACACTATATACATAACACTTTATCATGCGGTATCGTAGGGACAAAATCAAGATTACGGGTAGTGAATAACTGTATGTTTACCGAAATTTACAGATAAAAGGATCTCATTGCGCTCGTCTGCTCACCAAAACCTCCAAATTATTGACCTTCTTTTTAAAATTCTTCAATGTGTGGACGACATTTACATTTATACCGATATAAAGAACCCATTTTAATTTTTCTGAATAATATAAAAGCATAATTACAGCATGAGGTGCATATTTAGGTGTGATTCTTGACATAAGTCTAACATAGATTATCTGTTGGGAAGACTAAACTTGTTTGTTTTTTTCTGACCAAGTTTTCCTTAAAATTGCCCTTTAACTCACGCTTAATTTTTGAAGTACATTCCACACAGCATTTGTTCATAGTTTGTTTTCTCAATGTACATTCCTCCGGAAAGGATTTATTAAAATGTTTTTTAGAAAAGTGCTTAAAACTAGGGTGATTACCTTTATACAGGGGTTGGATGTGACCATCATCTGACATAAATCAAATTTAAATGTGCCTTTTCCTTTTTATAACTGTTTAAAATAATCCTGTAGGGATATTTGGACTAACTTGGCTGAATTTAATTTTTCCAAACTGTGTGTATGAAGTGGAGTTCCACAATGCTGGTCAATAAAGCACTTTTTAATACTTGAAATCTAACATCTGAAAACTATGTGTAAGAGATTTGCTTGTTGCTTTGAATAATAATGGAATGGAGTCAAAGAGAAATGGCCAGACAGTTTGGAGTCAGTCGTTTTATGGTCCAAAAAAATACCAACGGTTTTGAGAGACTGGATCTCACCAACGACGACCAGGATCAGGCGCGAGAATCACGACGGAGATAGAAGACCGTTCTTTACAACACACTTTTTTTGCAAAATGGATTCTTTATGGCTAGAGTAGTCCAAAACATTTTTAAAATGCTCAGGGGTGGACATTAAGTACTTCTACAGTTAAAAGGAGTTTAAGGAAGTTTTGTCTAATGGGTCGTTGATCAGCAACAGTTGACTTAAGTATTCTAGAAACCAAGTGCATTTGGCGATAGAAGATTGGAAAAATGTTTTATGATGAGTCCAGGATGATTCTTTATGGTTCAGACGGTCTCACAAAACAGAAGACAGTGGGGAACGATATGCTGCTTTTGACAGGTATTTCATTCGACGGCCGTACTGATCTCGTGTTTATCAATAGAGGAACGTTGTATGCTCACCGATTCTTCTTCTTTCAGTGCCTATTCGTTCCGAATATTGGCAATCATTCTGGCTATAATTATTTTATTGACTGATGCTTTAAATAGATTGTTGTTGTTGTGGAGAACCATTTCCTCAGGTTCTTCAACCATGATATTCTCCTTCTCCCAATTCCTCGCTTTCCGAATACTTTACCCTGTAGGATTACCTTCAGTAATCTGTATTTAGTGCTGTTTCTCATTATATGTCCGAGATATTCCAACTTTCTCTTTTTAATGGTATACATCACTTCTCTTTCTTTGCCCACTCTTCGTAATACGGTCTCGTTGGTTATCTTGTCTGTCCATGATATTCTTAGAATTCGCCTGTATAGCCACATCTCGAAGGCTTCAAGTTTTTTTCTCCATTGCTTCAGTTAGTGTCCAGGATTCAACTCCGTAATACAATATTGAGAAGATATAACATCGTAGGAGCCTCACTTTTATCTCCAGATTAAGATTGTGGCTTTTAAAGAGTTTGGCCATGTTGTTGAATGCACTCCTAGCCTTCTCTATTCTACATTTTATTTCCTGTGAGTGATCCCATTGTTCATTTACTGTTGTTCCAAGATAGTTATACTGTTTTACTCGGTCCACTGGTGTAATATTGATAAGTAGTTGAGCGTCTCTAACTTTATTTTTGCTGATGATCATAAATTTGGTTTTTGTTATATTTACTTGAAGTCCAAATCTTTCACTTACTTCATTTACTTTGTTTATTAGTTGCTGTAAACTGTTCAAACTGTCTGCAAAAATAACGGTGTCATCTGCATAACGGATGTTGTTTAGGCGTTCTCCATTTAGAAGTATTCCATGTTCGCATTTTTCCAAGGCTTCACTAAATATTTCCTCTGAATATAGATTAAATAATATAGGTGAAAGTATACAACCTTGTCTAACGCCTCGTAGAATCTGGATCATTCCGTTGGTTCACCTCCAAAATTCGTTCTTATTGTGGCTGATTGGTTCCAGTATAAATTTTGTATTATACGCCGATCTTTATCATCCATTTGGGATTTTGTTAGAATATCCATCATTTTTTGGTGTTGAACTGTATCAAATGCTTTTTGGTAGTCCACAAAGCAGGTGTAAATATCGCAAGTCATATCTCTGCATCTTTGAAATAATACCTGTAGACTAAACAGTGCATCCCTTGTACCTACGCCCTTCATGAATCCCAACTGTGTGTCTCACCGATACATTACCGAAATTCTGCACAAGCATGCAGTGACTTTTGCTACACGTAGCCAGGATGGTAACGCAATACCTGGAAACCGTCGGTGTGCCAAAAATGAATTGGCCGGCTTAAAGCCCAGATTTGAACCCATTTGACATTTGAAAAATTTCAATATTTTTGGAGGCCTCTTTTTAATGTTGCGCAGATATAATCTAAGGAAAGTGGTTAAGGATTTCCCAAAAGTTAAGCTTCAAGTCTCGATCACGTACTCTATAAATCTATTATCAACAAACTATTCATATTTTATTAATGACTCAAACTTTTATTATAGGTTTATTAGTAACAGTATTATGAATAATAACATGGGTATTACAATAGAAAAAAGACACAAATTAATCGAAGTTACCAAAAAAGGCAAAATATGCAAAAAACATCTCAAAAAGGCAAAATAGACAAAAAATTTTGATTATTGCTAATATTTTCAAGTCCCCCTCTAGTACCCGCTACTGATTTATATGTCTTGCTGTCTACCTTCATCGGAAAAATGTGGTTAATCGCTTGTCTGGCATTTTTTATGACTCAGTTGTAATGTGTTTTTTTTTAATTATAATAAATTATTCAAATTGATGCTTCATCAACTTGTAAATAAAAAATGCCTGGTATTAAAAATATTTCTTAATTGAACACATAAATTTAAACATTGCATATTTTTTTTAATCAAAAATCTAATGAGTTTTTTGGCTTTTCTTATTCTTTATTGGTGTAACAGCCTTTTGGAAAAATAACAAAATCAATGAAATCTATTTTAATATTGATATCAAATACAGGTAGTACATACATATGGTGCAGAGACATTAACACTAACCAAGAAAGTAAGAAATAAAATTTGTGTTGCCCAAAGAGCCATGGAACGATCGATGTTAGGTATTTCCCGTAGGGATCGGATCACGAACAAAGAAATAAGACGGAGAACAGGAGTGACAGATGCCATAGAAAGAATTATAACCCTTAAGTGGAACTGGGCGGGGCACATAGCTAGAATGTCGATAACAGATGGACACAGCGAATAATACAGTGGAGACCGAGACAAGAAACACATCGAAGTAGAGGTCGTCCACCAACAAGATGGTCTGATGACATAAAACGGATCGGCAAAAATTGGATGCAAACAGCACAAAACAGAAATACATGGAAAAGACTGAGGGAGACCTATATCCTGCAGAGGATAGATCCGGGTTAAATGATGATGATCAAATAAAGGTATCAAAAATAAATGGAACAACAAGAAAAGAAGAACACAATTGGCATGCTTGGATCATGCTTGGAATATCACTGGGAGACAAGATTAGAAACACCGAAATAAGACGTAGAATATTAGGGATATTATGGAAGAAATTACACGGAGAATTCTAAAATGGACGACAAGAAGCATGGGAAGATCTCAAAAAAGATGACATGACATAAGAGAAGTGAACGGCAAACAGTGGATTAGATTGGCGCAAGATAGAGAAAGATTGAGGCAATTGGAGAGATCTTCATTCAGGAGTGGATGGCAAATGGTTGACAAAGAGATCAAATAAAGTGAAAAAAAATATTAGGGTCACCCTGTAATTTAAATTTATTTTAGAAATTATTCTTTTTTAACTATTTTCAGTTTTAACATAGTTTACTAACGGATTACTTAAACAAAACAACATTTTTCATTCAAAATTTATTCAAAGTTTACGAAAATGGACAGTTTTCCTTTGGTATACTAAATATTAAAAAAAGATCATTTTAATTTGATGTGCTTTATGTTCTGGTAGCCATAACATCTTTCAAAGGTCGATTCATGTTTTGGATCAGATTTTATATTGCATTCTGCGAAAAAGCAGAGGCCTAGTTACCCTAGTTCGAGAAGGTAAACTAGCAGCATAAAATTGCCTTTTAACTGTCCATTTACTTACGTTTGCATAACCCACTTCTTGTAGACGAATATGAATGAAAACTGCCGTGCCGTTCGGTTTCTCAAAGCACTAGAAACGACAAAGCAATCATCACAGCTTTTGTAATTTTGTCTCAACTGAAACCAGGTCTTTGAATCGACAAATCACCTGACAACTAGCTCATCATCATCGTATGGTGAGATTTGTGCAGCGACTACAGCGTTTTGCAAACACCAAGTGTAATAATATCGTGACCAGCGGATGCGAAAACCCCACAGAATAAAATTCTTTTATCAAGCGTCTAAGATAAAATTTATTAATTGATTCTGTTTTCTAATAAGTAAAAAATCATTTTAATTCTAGGATAAAGGTAAAAAAATTGTAATAAAAACTACAAGTAGACTCGCAACATCTGCCTGATGAAACCTCAAGAAACTTAGTGGCAGAAATTAAAGGATCAGAAAAAGAGCAAAAAATCGTTGTTGTATCCGGTCATTTGGATAGTTGGGATGTTGGAGTTGGTGCAATGGATGATGGTGGTGGATCATTCATTTCTTGGTATTCAATGGTTCTTCTAAAATCCCTCGGTTTAAGAGCAAGGAGAACTCTAAGGTGAGTATGTAAATTAACAGAAATTTTACCAATAAAATAAATTTTTTTATATATGTAAACGACATCAATTAATTTCTTTTAACTCATCACTCACTTTCTTCTTTGTTGGACCATAATATACAAATCAAGCTTAATTAAAACTATAGCTGTATCAAATTATCTTTTTTTAGAGTTATTCTGTGGACTGCCGAGGAACCTGGTTTCATAGGAGCCCAAGCATACGACAAAGCGCACAAGGATGATCTGGACGATTTTACTTTTGTAATGGAATCTGACGAAGGTACTTTCAATCCTCTGGGAATAGAATATACAACCGGCAAAAAAGGTGGATGTATAATAAAGGAAATCGTTGGGTAAGTAAATATCACGCATTTCTTTTAAGAATTTCAAGGAACATAAACACATTTTAGATTACTGGAACCAATCAATGCAACACAGACCCAATACAGCGAATCAGTAGGATCCGACATAGCGATGTGGGCTAAGAAGATACCCATAGCTGGTCTATTGAACGAGAACCAGAAATATTTCTGGTACCATCACTCAGTCGCCGACAGTTTGGATATTTTGGACTCAGACACATTAGATAAGGCTACAGCTGTCTGGGCATCTGTAGCGTACGTCGTTGCTGATCTTAAAGAAGAATTTCCCAGAGATTTTGATGATATTTCAAAGTTACCCATCAACAAATTAATAGAAAAATTGCGCCAAAATGGACAAAATCATTAGTTAGTTCGTAATATTGTGATCAAAGCGAATTAGTATTATACATGTGCAGCACAATATTATAATTAGTTTATTAATAAAGATAAATTTATTTTTTATTCATAATTCATTTACAAATTTAAAAATGTAATAGTCTTAGCTAAAGAATTGCAAAAATTGCTATTGCAGTATAGAAGCTTTGCTTCAGTAAATTAAACAACTACATACTATTAGATATTATATATTAATGTTATAATATACATATACTAAAAATCTGCTAATACTTTGAAGAACAATTTACGTATTTTGTTAAATAAGGGTGTTCTCGTCTTGACCATCAAACACCATCAATAGCGACTGATGCGAAGACGACTTCTCGCTAGGACCTAGCAGAGCTGTCTTTTCTCCATTTTCGTTGAGGCTGCAGTCCGGAGAAGAATTATCCATCAAGAGAAAATTATTCGTTGTGGTTGCGCTACTCGTGGAGGGTAAACTGTGGATGTCTGGTGATGCAAGTGGAGGGAACGCTTTGGGTGACGATTCCAGAGTTTCTTTGAGGTGCATCACTGGGTAGGATTCCCTGGAAAAGTAGGCCTATGCAGAGCGTAAAGTAAATCTAGGTTTTATGAATTTGTTGAGAACTAATTTATTATTTTACTTTGAATATAAGAACTTAATATTTCTTAATGTTTTTAAGGTTATAGAAATAGGCACTTCATGGTGCTTAAAACTGTTACATTAATAAATACAAAATTAAATGTAGGAATTTTACGAAACCTTTTTAATTCATTGTTAACTTTTGTGTAACAGCAGTGCACAGCTTTAGCACTTTCTGTAACTTTTCACTACTTAATTTGATTTCTTGTTTAAGATTTAAAATGGCCAAAATATTATATAACAAATAAATTTAAACCTGTAACCTGACGTGCTAGAAGTCTGCGAAATAGCAGAATCCTCGTCCCAGGATCCTTCCGCCATCTTGTTTCTGGTAGCAATTCGTAAGCGATGAGAATCAGAAATCGGTTCAAATTTTTGATCGGCTTTTTGCGTTGTTGTTTGAGATTGCGACTGTTGAGTTTCCTGCAGAGATTGAGTAATTACTGGAGGCGTAAGTGGTGGAGATAGAGAATCTTGATGTTGTGGGCCTAGAATCGATTCTGACTCTAGTTTTGCTTGGGCGACCTAGAAATGAATGAATTTAGAATACACTTTATAGTTAAAAATAAATTATCATTTTGAAACTTTTTGATCAAGTACGTATCTACAGTTTAAACACTTTCCCAAACATATGCAGACCTCATCAACTAAAAATGAAATATATATATATATGTATATATATATACATATATATATATATATATATATATATATATATATATATATATATATATATATATATATTTATGGCTGTTTTATCCGTGCACCAAAATTTTTTCTCTGTTATTTACCGACAAAATGTCTAGAAATTTGGACATGTTATTCAAAACTATGTTGCCTTTAAAATGATGGTTTTACTTTTTTTATTTTTTTGATTTTTCTGTTGAAAAATTGGATTATATTGTTTAACGTTCTATTATAACCAAACTTTTCACGCCCATCAGTTGAAAGAGTTTTTTTTTTCTGTAATCGTTGATTCTTTTTTCACCTTTTTGTGTCCAGTAATAATCGAGAAAAGCGTATTCAAACTTTGAAGAAAATTGCTAAAAAATACTGAAATCTAATAGTGAAACGTGTTCCTCATCATTGTCGCTTAGCTTGATCGTTATTGCATTAGTGACGTCAAATCTCATGAACGTACGGTAGGGTCAGTTACTTCGCTTTAATCAGAATCCATTTTAGTTCTTTCATTCTTGTATTTTCTTTATCAACTTGCTTAGTTTTTACAGTTTATAGTATTCTTATTTATTTTGAAAACATTGAAATTATTTAGTTTACGGGTATGTTTAAGTAATATATTATTAGTTTAGTGGTATAAGTTAAAAGTTCTTTAGTTTACGCGTATTTTTAAGTATAACATTAGGTTAGTGATATAAGTTATAAGAGACAAGATAAAAAATGAGTCCCAGTAAACGTCCTAGGTCAAGGAAAAGGAGAGCAATTGCCCTACAGTAAGGTTTTATTACTACAGTAAGAGTAATCTCTTTTTAGGTCTTCCCACGCTTCTTTTTGTTTCTTGAGGTATATATATATATATATATATATATATATATATATATAATATATATATAATATATATATATATATATATATATATAGCGTTGATTAAGTTCTTTACAAACACCCGTTGTTTGTTTTATTTTAAAAATATTATAATAGTTTATCTTCAGTAAGTTCGTATCTTTTTCCAAGAATAATTTTGTTTCTTTCTCATATTTTTAGGAACTTAAAATCAAAAAAGCTACTATAAGCAAAAGTTCTTCATCAAATAGTTCATTCCATCAAAAATTAGCAGAAACCTCTACTTTACCTAGTTGTAGTGTCGATTCGTAAGTAACCCTTTTTACTTTTTTTTATTTACTTACCGTAAAGTAAGTAAATAGAGGGTTCATGACCTTACATATTATTTGTTTATGGTCAAAATATTACCAATGTTTTACTCTTAAATAATAATAATAAGAAATAATATCATTTGCAGAAAATACTTTAAATTTTATCGTTATTTCTAGTAATAGCTGTCATTCTCAGTCAGTTAAGATTGCCTCTCCGCAAAAACCATCTTTTTCGGTAGAAGGCAGAAGAATAGTGGACATAAACTTTCTCATTAAATCTATTCAAGGTTTGAATAATCATTCTCCATTTTCATGCAACTTTTCTAATATGGAGATTATCAAAGAAAAAATGGACGGATTGATAAGTACATTGACTTTTAAATGTCAAATGTGCAATATTGAAAAGGAGATAGCAACATAGGATTCTGGTAACAATTCACTGAACTTGAATGGTTCTGGTTATTCAGACATACAGCAGCAGCACGCTGCATCAAATATACCTGTGATGTCCTTCAGGCAGTATGCATAACATACGGAGACAGTTGCAGATATCATCGGCCAAACACTTTGTGATTCCATAGAAGAGGCTGGACGGGAGGAATTAGCTTTAGTCAAAGAAATTGGTGATGTAGATTCCGACGGAAATGGGTAAGTAAACTACGATGATTCTTCAGGTACCTAACGTTGTAAAATTTATTAAATTAGTACGCCTTTGATGGATAGGACATGTAATTAGGCGAGATGAAGATGGAACGATCAGAAAAATTTTCGACCGAAGAGGACCAGTGGGAAGACGATCCAGAGGAAGACCAAAACTTAGGTATCAAGATAACATAGAGTATGATCTAAAATCCATCGGAGTTAAAGCATGGAGAAAGTTGCCAGAGGCAGGGGTGAATGGAAGATTGTTCTGAAGAAGGCTTTGGCTCATGACGAGCTGTAATGCCACTGATGATGATGAAATAACTATCCACGATTTGTGTTTTATATATAAATTGGATACTTTTCTTATGTAACTGCAATCTATAAATATATTAAAATAATTTATATTCCAGTCAAAGAAATTTTTTCCTCACAGTGCGTCGCCTCGAAATACTTGCCAGATAAATACATTTACTATTATGATGGGTTCGCAGGTACCAATTTTTTATAGATAAATAAAAATATTTTTTGTTTAATTTTTGCTACGCTAATATCAGTTTTCTCTAACAAATAAATAACTTCTTAAAATCATTTTCAAGCTATAACTGCGAAATTGTTTATTTGTTTGTGACATTAAATTGTAATTTTTTTGATAATAATATTCTTATGTTATTTTAAATTTATTATAAATAAACACCAAAAATGTGATTAATTCTTTTTTTAAACATTATCTACGATAATCAATCTAAAAAAAAGTATTCCGACAAAAGTAATTTGAATGGAGAATAATGCATTTATTGTGAATAAACAACTCGTGGCCCGGCGCCACTGAATAAGCATCGAAACTGCAGATTTCAAATTAGGAAGTCACGTAGGGTCTGACATAAGCAGTGTAGAAAAGTAAGTGATACGCCCACTTCAAATCGCAGTATGCGGTAACTGCGAAAACAGCCTTATGTATTAAAGATTTTTATCTTTTTTGTTATGCCTTCTATCTGTTTCCACTCTCTCCGGTTCTGAATCATTTCTCTCCGGAGAAATTATTCCATCTTTAATATATTCTCTATTAGTTGGTATTTTCATTCTATTTTTCCAGTTCGTTATCCTCTTAATTAGTGCGTCTTGTTCTCTTCTTTGTATGTATCCAAACATTCTTAGTCTTGGTATTTTAATAAATTTTACTACAGAATTAAATTAAAAAAGGTTTAAATATAGTCAAAATGAATAAGAGGAAGACTAGAAACAACGTTAACCAATGATTTAAAGATGCATGTTGAATCTAGATGGACTAGAGCAGATCTGAACTAAAAAAATAATACAAAAGGGTCAAACTAAAGTAAAAAACATTTTAATTTTTATATCGTTATCATCTTACTGTGATTAGCGATCTCATTGGTCACCATAATATGGAAAACGGTAGCTGTGAAAATTTCTGTTGACGTGTTTCCACCTATTTGCACAGGTCTTTTATTCATAAATTTTACCTTATAAATGTCGAAGAATTTAGGAACTTTTCTTGTGAATTGACGGTATTTCCACCTCTTCTCATTGGTCATCAAAACCAGTTATAGATAGATATATTAAGTTTTTCTTCTTCTTCAAGTGCCCTTTCCGCTACCGAGTTTTCTCAATCATCATTGCTATTCTTATCTTTGAAGCTGTTGCTTTAAATAATTGGTTAGATGTGCACTGGAACCAGTCTCTTAAATTGCGTAGCCAACATATACGCCCTCCCCCCACGCTTCGTTTGCTCTAAATCTTTCCTTGGAGAATTAACTGGAGCAATCGGTACTTTCTCCCTCTCATCACATGACCAAGATATTCCAGCTTTCTTCTCTTGATGGTGATCAACAGCGCCTGTTCTTTGTTCATTCTTCGAAAGACTACACTATTTGTTATTTTGTCTGTCGATATTGCTCTTCTTTAAAGTCCAAGTCTCTACTTCGTACAGCAGTATCGAAAAGATCCATCCAACCAATCTCATTT